TCTACCAGCCTGTGGCCCTCTGCCTCTGTCCCCCTGTGTCCTGTTTGTCACCTTCCGCAGCTACGCGAGCCAGGAGAAGCCTCCAGCTCACATCTGACCTAGGGACGCACACTGACCTGGACTTACCAGCTTCTGCAACTGTATGCGCCATCTCTTGAGCGAAATCTCTTCCTACCCAGACATACGAAGGGCCACTGGCGGTGTGCTCTAGCAAACCCAACCTGACACACTCACTTACCCTGTGTCCAGTCTGCCTGCGGCTGAGGAGAACCTCAGAGGCGTCCAACCCATCCAAGTGCCGGTCCGGGGGCAGGCAGGTCCGGGCCAGGGCCACGACGGTGGGGAAGATGTCCAGCACACTGCAGGAGGAAGGAGAGCACATGGGCCCCACGCAGTGGTCAGAACGAGCCCCAGCCGCCTCCTCTGGCTGCTGTCATTCCACTTCCCTCTGCTCTGCTCCTCCTGAGGGCAAGTGCTGTGGGGAGACTCTGCAGGTGGCTCGTTGCCTGGGTTCCAATCCCCACTCTGCCACGTACAACCTAGTTCCTCGCAGCCTCAGTCTGCTCCTCTCTAAAATGGGCCCTATAAGCACAGTGCCGGCCTCCTCGGGCACTTAGAAGTAGGCCTGCTACTTGGAATGTGTCCACGGGGCGGGGTTTTAGAATCATTCGTGACTAGCCGCTCTCTCTGAGATCTTGGGGAGGCCTACTGGTGACCAGCTAGGCCCCAGCTGCTGACTTTGAGGGCGCAGGATGGGACAGGGGCCTGCCTGCAGAAGGATGTTTTCCCTTCGATCCTCAGCCCGTGGTGCTTGCTGGGAGACAGTCCATCTCTGCTCAGAATGCCACCCTACACAGAACAGTCTGCTCTTCTTCTGTGTTGGTGAGCTTTCCCCCAATTCCATAATAGGGAACACTGCCTGTCGCGACAGACAGCACACACAGACAGACCCGCGAGGACAGAACACACCAACAGCCCCCCACCCCCCCTCAAAGCAACTGCTGTTAGCATGATGGCGCCTTTCCTCAAAGCCATTTGCTCTTTCATTCACACAGCTCGGTTTTACATGGCAATCCGGTCTCCCTCCGGCCTGCTGGGCTGAGGGCTGGCCCTTGACAGGGCTGTTGATCTGCGGGCCGAGCCAACTGAGTCAGGGGTCTTGGTAAGAGCCAGGAAGCAGGCTTATGGGAGGCCAGAGTACCCAGGGAAGGCCCGGGGCCTCCTGGACGCTGGGCACCACAGCAAACTTGGGCTGACTCTTGGGGAGGCCTCAGGACCAATGTCAAAATGAAACCAAATGGAAACCAGTGGCCAGCTGTGGGATTCAAAACGACTTCCCCAGCTCGACTCCCCCAAATACATATGTCAGACTTAGGACACTGCTTGCAACTAAAGGTAAATGATTGTCAAGTTAACTCCCTGAAGACTCCAGCCATCCCGAGCAAGCAGACACCATTGTTTCTCCCACAATAGCTAGGTCCCAGCTGTTAGGGACAGTGGATTGCTTCCCCTGAAAGTTCTAGGGCAATCATGAATCTAGGGTCACATGTATGACCCCAATCCCTCCCCTTCCTATTGTGGGTATACACCTAAATGACCCCCCTCCCATTACTGCATTACCTACAGCACAACCCCTTCCTGTGACGTACGTCTTTACCTGTAATTAGGGGGCTTGCACGCCCCCCAAAGGTATATAAGCCTTGGTTAGAAAAAAGGAGCTCTCTCTCCCGGTCCGTCCTCTCTCCCCCAGTCCTCCTTCCCCTCCCCATCTCTCCCGCCCTCGAGTGTCCCAGCTCCATCTGAACCACAAGAGGAGCTGAGGTGAGCATGCTACGATGAAATGTGTCTGACTCCATTATTATTTCAATCTCTTCTCTCTCTCATTCTCTATGACTTTACTGCAGTCTTTACCTATTATCGCTGTACAATTGCGCCTAGTGGACCCGTGATGATTTGTTAGGGGCTGGCTACCCTGACAGCCGGCCCGGCTCCTCCAGCTTCCAGAAACCCAGGCAGGGCAGCGTCACACTG